TCTTCTTCTCAGGCTAGATACTAAATGCTGGAGCCAGGATTTTAACTCCAGCAGTGTGACTAAACGGTGTGAACTAGGGTTTCTTGACCTTTTTTTTCTATTAATGACCCTCAAGGAAAAAAAATTTAATTTACATTTAAACTCTCCCTAATGAATGAAATTAAATGCAAGGAAATAAGATTATTGTTTTGGGTAGGGTTAAACTATGGAGTAATTTTTTTCATCTACCAAAATCCAATTTTGGCCCTCTTGGGGGCAATATCAATCCATTGAAAAAGTACATTTGGACCTTTCTGTATGCATTTCCATTTATGTACCATATGTATATCTCTAAAAACACCTGGCCTTATTTTACAGTTTTAATTATATCTTCCAATAAGGATTATTCTGTATCTTGCTTTCTTTTCCCTTCATAAGCTATCTAGGACAGCATAGCTATGGTGATACTCTCATTTTTAGAGAATATCATTTTTAGAGAATATCATATTTAGAGAATATCATTCTCATTTTAGAGAATATTATTACATTTAAATCATATCACATGCCTGAATTTGTTTGTCTTTCTGGTACTGAATACTCAGAAAGTCTTATGCTTTCTGGTCTGTAATCAACACTTCAATGAACATCTCTACACACTCTTCAGTGGTCCCATTGGAGTACATTTTTCTAATGTATACATCATGATTGGAACAGGGCATGTGTGAAGGTACATAATTTTAATTGATACGCTCCCATTACCACTCCACCCTACCTCTTGATTACCTGTACAAATTTATCTTCACACAGAAAATTTTCAAGAGCACACATTTCTTCAAGTGTTTCTACCAAATATGATCCCTTTCTACCTTGGGTGGTGTTAAATATTTTAATTAAATGAGTCATTTAAAAGTATTTATATTACTCATCAGCTGATAGTGACTTGTGTAACAGGAAAGATGGGTAAGTAAGTTAATGCTGCTGGAAATGCTAACAAATAACAGTGACACTGGGATGCCGAAGAGCCTTGTCCGGAAAGCCTGTACTAGGGTCTGATTCACTTCATGAAAGACTAGGAGTGGTCACTACCTGGGAACAGCTGCACTGGACCTTGAAATGGCAACCTCAGGAAACAGGCACTAAATCTCTTTTGCTATTCTCCAAGTCTTTCAGGCACCAAAAAACCATTGAAGTTATGAAAAACCAAACACCCAAAGTAAATGAAGTGTTGAAAGGTCAATGATCCTTCTGCCAGAAAGAAAAATGCTATGATGGAGATAACAATAAATATCCCAGAAAACAAGACTAAAAGCTTTGGAGAACAGCAAGGACTTTAACTATATGCTAAAATCCTTAGGTCTTTTTGAGGGGCGGGGGAAAGCATGTATAGGAAATGAAGTAAGAATGCCCCTTTCTCCTTCCTGCCTCTCTTTCTTTACTTCTTAAAAAAAAAAAAAAACCCACAGACTCATTTGCTTGAAATATATAACTTTAATAGCATACAAAATGATTCAGAAAAAAGAAGTAAAGAACATCTCTGCATCAAGATTCAAATTTCAATCAATATGACCCTTTCTTGAAGGTATACATTTTTTTCTCTAATCTTAGCCTAAAAAAGAAGACTGAAGATAAGGAAAAGGCACATTGAGCTCTACACTTGTTGAGCTCCTTCTGTGTGCTTGTGCACAGTCTGTCATTGAATCCACATCACCATCAGGTAAAGGACAACTATAGGAGAGAAAGCTGATGCTGAGAGAGAGAGTGTGACTAAGGCTCCTCATCCAGCAATCCAACATGCAGAGCTGTGAACTGAGGCTAATGACTCCAAAGTCTGTTTCCCCTTGTACCACGCTGCCTGCTGAGACTGAAGGAGCCCAATGTACAATAATGTAAACAAAGACACTGCACCTGCAGTATTACTGCTCTTCAGAGGACAGAAAAGGCGCCTCACAGGACTAATGTTGAGAATCACATTTTACTTCAAATCTCCTGGAACAGATCAAGGCAACAAAGTTAAGTATAGGAGAATGATGAAACAACACTGGAAAACTTTTATAAGATTAGATCCATTCTGAGAGAATTCATTAAAACAAAACAAAACAAAAAAGCCAGGAAAGAGAAAGCTGCAGAAATTGCTGACTTATCTTGATTTAAAGTTTGATGCTGATAGTAAGTCAGGCATCCTGAGTGTGAAAACCATGCCCCCCTGTGAACAGAAGCCAGTTCACTAAAATCACTTGTTCATTTTTCCAACTGCTACCTAAACTAAATGGCACCTTGCTCACAAAAGCATCATTATCTCAGTATCCACCAAATGATGAGAGAGCTATACATGATCCCTAGGGTAAAACACACTTTCTAAAACTCAAAACTTGGGAATGATACAAGAGTGTCCACTTTCTCCACTCTTATTCAACTTAGTCTTGAATTCCTAGTCAGAGCAATAAGACAGGAAGAAGAAATAAAAAGAATTCAAACAGGAAAGGAAAAAGTCAAATGACATGATCTTATACCCTAAAAGACCCAAAAAGCTCCTAGACATTATAAGCACCTTCAGCAAAATAACAGGATATAAAAATCAGTTTACAAAAATCAGTAGCCTTTCTATATACCAACAATGAACAGAATGAGAAAGAATATAGGAAAACAATTCCATTACCAATAGCCTCAAAAAAAATCAAATACCTAGGAATAAACTTAACAAAAGAAGTCAAAGACCTCTACAAGGAGAACTATAACCACTGAAGAAAGAAGTCAAAGAAGACTACAGAAGACGGAAAGATCTCCAATGCTCATGGATTGGCAGAATCAATATTGTGAAAATGTGTATACTACCAAAAGCATCTACATGTTCAGTGCAATTCCCATCAAAACACCAATGACATTCATCACAGAGATTGAAAAAAAAAATCAACCCTAAAGTTCATTTGGAATCACAAAAGACTGCAAATAGCCAAGGCAATACTAGCAAAGAGAGCAAAGCTGGAGGTATCACAATACCCAACTTCATACTATACTACAGAGCCATAACAATAAAAACAGCATGGTACTGGCACAAAAACAAACATGAAGACCAGCGGAACAGAAGACCCAGATATGAACCACACAGCTATGCCAATCTGATTTTTGACAAATGCACCAAGAATATATGATGGAGAAAAGACAGCCTCTTCAACAAATGTTGCAGTCAGTTTTCTGACTGCAGAAAACTGAAACTAGAACCATGTCTTTCACCCTGTACAAGTATCAACTCAAAGTAGATAAAATACCTTAATATAAGACTTGACACTTTGAAGCCAGTGCAGGAAAGAACAGGGAATACATTGGAATTAATAAGCATAGGCAAGGACTTCCTAAATAGAGCTCAAATGGCTCAGCAACTAAGAGCAAATGGGACAAATGGGACTGCATGAAATTAAAGTTTCTGCACAACAAAAGAAATGGTCACCAGATTGAAGAGGCAGCCCACAGAATGGAAGAAAATCTTTGCCAGTTATACCTCTGACAAGGGATTAATAACCAGAATATACAGGTAGTTCAAAATACTAAACTCCCCCAAAAATCAATAACCTAATAAAGAAATGAGCAAATAAGCTGAACAGAGCTTTTCAAAGGAAGAAGTCCAAATGGCAAAAAAACACATGAAGAAATGCTCAACATCCCTGGCCATAAAGGAAATGCAAATCAAAACTATGTTAAGATTCCACTCACTCCTATTAGGTTGTCTAAGAGGGCAGAACAGGTTCTGCCTGAAAGCAAGGGGTTCGGGGTGGTGAGGAGGTGGCCCAAACAACGTATACACGTGAGTAAATGTAGAAACAATAAAATTTTAAAAAACAAAAAAGAACACAAACAACAAGTATTGGTGAGGATGTGGGGGAAAAAGGAACCCTCATACACTGCTGGTGGGAATGTAAATTAGTACAACCACTTTGGAAAACAGTATGGAGGCTCCTCAAAAAAACTAAAAACAGAACTGCCATATGATCCAGCAATATCACTCCTAGGGATATACTTGAAGGAATGTGAGTTAGGTTACAACACCTGCACACCCATGTTTATTGCAGCATTATTCACAATAGCTAAGCTATGGAAATAGTCAAGATACCCACTACTGATTAATGGATCAAGAAAATGTGGTATTTATATACAATGGAATTTTATTCGGCCATAAAGAAGAACAAATTTTGTTGTTTACAAGACGGAACTGGAGAACATCATAAGTGAAGTTAGCCAGGCTCAGAAAGCTAAAGGCTGCATGTTTTCCCTCATATGTGGAATACAGACCCAATGCAAATACAAGCACACTAAGGGGAGGTCACATATGAGAGAGGGAGAGTAAAAGAAGAAAGTTAAGAGGTGAATATGGGAGAGTTCTTCAAATTCTTATATATTACTGTAGACTTATTTTCCAACTTTTATGCTTATTTTCATTTTTGACATGTAATAAAGTGCTATAAATGTTAACAAAAAAAAGAGATGAATATGGTTGATGTCATTCCTATACAAGAATGAATATAAACCTGTTGAAATCGCCAAAAGAAAGAGACTAAGGTAGAAAGGAGAAAATAGAGGGAATGAACCAATTAGTGCTATAATACATATATACATGGAAATATCACAATTAAACACACTGTATAGCTATCTTAAACAAACAAAAATGTCATTGTCTTACAAAAACAGAGAACAGGAAGGCAAAACAGGTCCTGTCTGGGGAGTAGGTACGAGTAGAGGGGGAAGATATAAGGAAAGGGTGTGGGAAGGTGAATATGGTAGAAATATTATGTACTCATGGATGAAAATGGAAAAACGAGATATGTGGAGGTCTCACTGAGACCTACCCCCTCCATGAGAATGATGGAGGGGGTGAATTCAACTTTGATACATTATAAGAACTTTTGTAAATGTTACAATATACCCCCAGTACAACAATAGTGAAAATAAATTAAAATTAAATAAGTACATAAATAAATATTCAATAAAGCTATGATTAGCTCAGATTCATGTTGATTGGAGTCACTTACCTGGGGCTGTGAAATTACAGGGGTGGAAGTGGAGGCTGCGGCCATGACGGTGCTGTAGCTGTGGTGACAAGCCCCCAGCACCACAGTGCCAGACACAGGAGTCAAGGCTGGTGGTTGCTGATCAGATTACAGGCATGCTAGGAGAAACTCTGCACCTGGAAAAGGATAGGGAAACCCACATTGGAATAAGAGGACTAGTGTGTGAGAGCGAAGTACTTACTGCTGGGTAGAAAAGCAAGCCACTGATACCAAGTGCCAAATACTGGCTTAATGAAAATAGGCACCTGGTAAGGAAGAGCTAACACCTAAAAGCCAAGACTTACTTATCACTTGCCCAAATGATGTTAAGTGGATGTATTTCCAGAGTTTCATTTCAATTCTATGTGCCAACTAGATATTCTGGGAAGGAAATTTCAAGTTGGGAGAATGGGGAGACTGGGCCAGGGGAAGAAGTCATTAAAAAAAAAAAAAAAAAGAATGATTCACATTTGGGAGCTGATAATTTATATACAAAGGGTAAAGAGAACAATACGATCAAGTGGTTAGAGACCCCCCAGTTCAACCTGCTCATTTGCTGGTGAGAAAACTGAACCTGGGAGAAGACTCTAGAATTATTCATTTCAGTCTAGTCACCAGAACTAGAGCAACAAACCCAATTCCCAGCCCAGAACGAAATATAAGAAAGGGAATGTGTGGCATGTTTACATTCTTCAAAGAACTTAGTTACCACTGTCAAGATTTTAAAAAGGCAAAACAGGACTGGAATGTGGCTCAAGTGGTACAGCACCTGCTTTGCAAGCACGAAGCTCTGAGTTCAAACCCAAGTCCCACCAAGAAAAGAAACAAAGGCAAAATACTCCAATATCACAAGGGTATGTCATGGTGAGTCAACAACTCAGATCAGTATGGGGTTGGAGGCTTCATAAATCAGATTTCCACATAGGTAAGGAAAAGTATATTTCTAAAATCCTTTTGATAGCCTCAAGGAGAGAATGTAAAGAGGCACAAAGTATAACCAAATCTCCTCTTATTAATGTGTCCATTAAAAGGACTCAGAAAGTCAAGTGTGGTAATGCTCGCCTGTAATCTCAGTGCTCAGGAGGTTGAGGCAGGACGATGATAAGTTCAAGGTCAGGCAGCCTAGGTTATACAGCAAGAACTTGAGAAAAGGGGAAGGAGGGAAAGAAAAAAGAACCTGAGAAAGGAAAGGAGAGGGAGGAAGAGAGGGAGGGAGGAAAAAGAAGCATCTGGTTCTCCAGCTGCTCTTGGGTCAATATTGTTGTCCCTTTTTCTTCCCCAGTTGTCTCCATTTTCCATTCTCATAGACATCTGTTCTTATCTATATCATCTCAAAACCATAAAACTATCTGTAACACCTCTCACTTGTAAAAGGTGAACTTTGCCACCTGTTTATTTACTGAACCATTCATCCATTCCCCTACAGTCATTTGTTATAAATTACTTCATTACTCCCCTACAATTCACATCATGTGTATAAATACAAAACACACACATTCACAGAGATAAAAGAGTAGACTAGGGATCCCAGGGGCTGGAGGAGGGGTTTTGCAGAGTGATAGAGTTTCAGTCTGGGAAGATGAAAGCACTCTAGAGATGGATAGTGGTGATGTGAATATCCTAACGCTGCTGAATTGTACACTTGAAGATGGTTAAAATAGTAAGTTATGTTACATATATTTTACCACAAAAAAGAAAAATGATTATAAACATAAATAATGAAGAATGACTTGAAAACTATTTCTGATATAGAAGACCACAGTGAGAATTAAATCTAGGTTATCATTATAAGAATGGAAAATATATAAATGAAGATGAATTGGCAAGAATCTTAAATAATTAAAAATATAATTTTAGGGGACTAGGATGTAGCTCACGTGGTAAAAGCACCTGCCTAGTAAGCATGAGGCCCTGAGTTCAATCCCCTGTACCACACACACAAAAAAAGTTAAAAAGTATATATATAATTTTAGGGGGAAATACAATTTCCAAAGGAGAAGACTACATAGGCTTATTGCTCTGTGCCAGGCAATAGAGAATGACTGATCAATTACACAAGTAGGAAATGTCCCGCTGAGCATGCTGGTACAAGTCTGCCTGGCACTGGAGAGGCCGAGGAAGAAGGCCTGTCAGTTTGAAGCCAGCCTGGGCTACATTGCAACACCATGTCTCAAAAAAATAGGAAGAATAGAAAATATCCTGAATGGGCCCTCGACACTGCAGAATGATTCCAACTACTGCAAAAAAAAACATGTATTGGAACAAACCAACACAGGAGGATGACAAAGAACTAAAACATGACAACCTTTTCATGAGAAAATGCAATGCATGTATAGAAAACACGCAAAGGAGAACCCAACAGACCTGGAAGGAAGCCTTAGTTCAGCAGGACCATAGCTAGAGGGAACTAAGCCAGGGGAGAATGTAAGATACACTAACTCTTTAAAAAGGACTCCTAGCTTCAGAAGCCAAGCAAGCAAATAATCTCTTACTGCTTTTATTCCTGATTTACATTTTCTGTTGAAGAATACAATACAAAACTGTGAGAAAAGAATGCTACTACCTGGCTTTGGAGGAGGGCAGTCATGCCAAGTAACAATGACCTTGCTAATTAGCAAGTGCCACACCAACTAACTAAAATAAAGTCTCTGGTTTGAGGCAAACTTCCATTTGATTACTCTGGAGCTGAGGCTGGCTCCCTCCCCAGGCCTCACAGGAAGATGAATTTCTAATTGGTAAATTAATCTACTACAAACCTAACCTTTTCCCTCTTTCTGGACTTCAGTCAAGTGGTGAGTCATATAAGTCTCTTGAAAAAAAAAAAAAAAAAAAACTCAGCATAGATCCCAGCATAAGAAAAGAAAAAAAAAAAACAAAAAACAAAACCCATAGGGCAATACCCAGTACCAAATACACACAGGATTCTGTCTTCAAGGACAGCAACAGAGAAAAAGCCAAATCTACCAGACCAATAAAACATACAGTTCAAAATCAAAGAATACTCTAGAATAAGTACAGATATTTACTTAAGAAATAAGTATACTGCTTAAAGGAGAAATTTTCATAAAATTTCTAGCTCATGTTCTTAAAATTACTAAGGACAGAGTGTAAGAGGTGCTTAAACTGCTTTTGGTGAAAAACACTTGCCTCCATACTTGGGCCCATGAATTAACTGAAAGCAGGAGAAAAGCTTAGCATCCCTGTCTACATTTTGTATCTGTGTCCTTTGCTCTGAGCCATTTTCTCCCCAGTCACCTTAGAATCCAGGAAGGACAGGAATGACTGATAACATCTGTATAACAAGGACCAAAACTACCCCTAAGGTACAGTAGAGCCTTGCAGGACAAATGAGGACAATTACCCATAATGATGAGGCTGCACTCTGGAACAGGAGTAATCATTTCTTGAGAACATGATTGCTCCTCTCAAGTGATGACAGTAATAACTCTAGAACCCTCAAAAAAACAAGGACTGAGATAACATTTAACCAGGCCCTACTCAGCCACTGGAACACACCTGTGACTGGGACTGCTTACCTACTCATACCTTTTTTAATTCTTTGCCTATTTAAAGTCAGAGATCATGTCTATACCCTGAAGATGGCTGAGGATGAGCTGAGTGCTGACTCTGCCTCTTCCCAAGGCATGTCCCAAGCCGTGTAACAAATCTCCTTTCTCTGCCTTCACCATGCCTCTTAATTTAGCATATAGGGGTGAGTGGCCAGACCAGATGTGGAAGCCCAGAGCTTGGGCCTGGTGTTCAAAACTCTGATTTCAATAGTAGCATGTTTGAACACAGAGCAGGCCATCATGGAAAGAAATACAAGATCAGAAAAAAGTTTGCATTAACCAAAAAGATAAAAAGAAGAGAAAAACCTGAATTATGAACTTGAATGAAGGCAGTCAATAAAAAGAAAGTCGAAAATAAAATTAGTAAAATAGAAAACAAACCAGAGCTTCCTGATAGGAAAAAGGTGCATGGGTAAAAATTTCAGTCTTCAACTCCAAAACAGAATAGATGAACAAAAAGTATTAGAGGAGGAAAGAATACCAAAACTACCAATGCCGAAACCAGAAAGGATAAATTCAAAATCTTAGAAAACTGTTGCACAGATACACAATATTGATTAAACAGGGAAACTTTTCAGACTTGTTACTGTGAATCATTCTGCATATTGGCAGAAACCCCAAAACCAGAGAATCAAGAAGATGAGATACAGGCAGACCAAAGCCATGCGTGTCTTTCCCCTATGAGAGAGAAATAGCATCTGATGCCAGACTTAAATGATCCAAGGCATGAGATAGACAGATTTTTCTCTCTGGAATGTAAGCAAATGGAAAGCCCTAACAATACTAACATCAAGAAAAAGATGCTGCACTTATTGGAACAAAAATCGGATGCTTAAAAACTAATAAGTCAGAATTTTAAAGGACTAGAATATGAATTTAAGAAAGTAGCACAAAATGTGAAGCACAAAATAAACCAAAGGAAAATAGAAACAGTCTAGAAAGCCTGAGAGCCAAATATGAAGAATTCCAGAATGAAGGAGTAAAGGAAGCAGAGGGGGGAAAAAATCAAATACCCCAAAATATTCCCTGGAATGAAAGGTCATATGTTTGTAGAATGTAAAATCCTATATCTCAATTGATTTTCATGTGTCCACATTAAGTATCATGCCAAGTCATTGTGAGTTTTTTTAAAAACTCTGTAAGGACTAGAAAGACTGGGATGTAGCTCAGTGGTAGAGCACTTGACTAGCACGTGTGAGGCTCTGAGTTTAATCCCCAGCACCACACACATACAAAAAAATGAAGTTAAAGTTTTAAAATCCTGTAAGATATCAGAAAAGCAATTGTGGGGCCTATAAATAGGAATCAGAAAGGCTTTGGACTTCTTAACAGCAACCCTGGAAGCTAGAAGACAAAAGAACAATGACAGGAAAGTCATTTCTACCCTAGGAGTCCAGAGGATGTTCTTCTGCTACAGGGAGGACGACAAGGAGAAGAAAGGCATGTGTTACAGGAAGCAGGAATCTAATACAGGAAGAACTCCTGCTGTTCTTGGGAATACGGATGGATCCCCGATGACAGGGAAGGAGACTCAAAAGGCAGCCCTGACACACGGTCAGTCTGAATAT